TTTTATACTGACCATACCAGATTTTCAGGTATGATCAGTGTAAAAAGTTTTTTGTTTTGTTTCGTTGTTGTTTTAGATTCCACTGGAGTTTCTACATATATATTCATGTTTTCTGCTAATAAAGACTGTTTTGCTTCTTCTTTTCCAGTTCAGATACATTTATTCTTTTTCTTGCCTGATTGCACTGGCTAGCATCTCCATTACAACACTGAATAGAAGCACAGGAAAAGATGCAAAACTGAAATTCCATACACTACTGGTAGGAATGTAAAATGGTGCACCCAATTTGGCAAACAATTTGGCAGTTTCTCAAAAAAAAGCTTACACTTACCATATGATTAGTAATTTCAATCCTAAGTATTTACCTAAGACAAATGAAAATATATGTCCACACGAAGGCTTATACATGAAGGTTCATTGCACCTTTATCTGTAACTCAAATATCCATCAATCGGTCAATGGGTAAACAATATATGCCATTTCCATACAAGGGAATACTACTCAGCACTCAAAATAAGCTGTTGATACATGGAAGGCCAAACAAAGCAGCACATACCATGTAACATGTATAGGAAGTTCTAGGAAATGGAGACCACTATATAATTATAGAAAACAGAAAGTGGTGGCCTGAGGTTGGGATGGGGAGGCATGATTGGTGGACCAATCATCAGGACTGCGTGAGAAACATATTTCAAGTGATAAATGAGCTCACTATTTAGATTGCAGGGGAGGTTTTGTGGTAGATACAGGTATCAAAACCAACCAAATTATAAAGCTTAAGTATGTGTAGTTGGTTATATGTCAATTAGACCTCAATGAACTTTTAAGAAATATACCAAAGCCCAGTAGGAAATTTCTCAGGATTACCTACTTTGTTAAGTTAAATAGCTTAGTTGTTAAATCAATCACTTATTTGTTCACACATCAATCTGTACAGCATTTGTAGAGCATCTCCTAAGTGCTAAGTCCTTCCTAGTTGCCAGCTATAAAAAGACATAGGCCCAAACACTTATTCTCAAGTAGAAAGAAACAGCTCATGGAAGACCAGTGTCTTGCCTAGAACCACAGTGGTCCCCTGTGTCTATGGACTGGCCCCAGCTCACCCTCCAATAGCAAAATCCAGGGAGGCTCAAGGCTCCTATATAATATGTCATAGTATTTGCATATAATTTACATACATCTTTCTGCATATTTTAAATCATCTCTAGATCACTAATAATACCTAAATCAATGTGAATAATGTGTCAGTAATTTTACTGTATGAAGAAATAATAACAAAAAAGCATATTATATTTGGTGCAGATGCAATTTTTCCCTGAATAATCTCAATCCTCAGCTTGCTGAATCTGAGGCTGCAGAATCTGAGGGTATAGAGGGCCTGCAGTACTAAAATGTCATATAAAATTCAGATAAAAATCATCTGATAACAGCAAAGCTGCTGAAGGAATAGACAAGAGGCAGGGGGGGGCAGGGCTAGACTGCAGAAAGGGAAGAACCTGGAAAAGGCTGAGTGGCTGCTTTTACCCTGGAGGCATGTGCTACTTCTGAACATGGGCAGAGGGCTGAAAATCTCGGTTGGAAATCAGATAAATTAGTAGAGCTTTGGGTAAAACCTGCCAGCCAGATGAACACCAGCCAGTGCTCCCTTAGTACTTTTGCTGAAGACAGCGGCTGTCTGGGACATGAGGCTAAAGTACCTAAGCTCAGGAGAAAATGCAGGGTGCTTTGTCCTGTTTTGTTTTCGCAGCTTTGAGAGATAAAAATTAGAGTTTGGAACCAGGGAGAGGGACTTTACAGAATACACTAACTCTCAGTTGAAAATCCTAGAGAATTTAGGGCCAACTACAGGAAGACTTGAAACACATAGGGCCGTGACCCATTCTTGGTGAACCATTCTTGACTCCATGCAGTAACTATTCTCTGACCAGTGGAGAGAAGGATAAGCTTTCTGTGTGGGAAATAACAACACTTGAACTTATGCATTTTTTTTTAACAAAACATCCATCATGTAGTAAAATCACCATGCTATCCCCAGATAGAAGCCCATGACCAAAAACCAAGTGAAAAAACAGACTGCAGGGCTGGGGTGTGGCTCAGTGGTAAGCGCTCACCCAGCTTGGTGAGGCACTGGGCTCGATCCCCAGCACCACATAAAGTATAAAAAATAAAGACAAATGCTGTACAGATTGATGTGTGAACAATCAATTTTGAACCACCTATAACTAAAAAATAAATATTAAAAAAAACAGACTGCAGGAACAAATGCATGTGTTACTCATATATTCACATTAGCTGATAAGAACTTTGAAATAACTATAATTAGTGTGTTTAACAACAGAGAGGAAATTATGGAGAAAATAAATAAAATATGAAGAACTTCACCAGTGATGTAGACCTGTAACAAAGAATCAAATGCAAATTCTCAACAAAACACAGAATATTAACAGCTTAATAGACGTTAAATGGCAGATTAGAGCCAAGAGAAGACAGGATTAGTGATTTGGAATAACTAAACCAAAGCATAGAAAGAAAAAAATTAGGTGAAACCTAGAAAAGAGCATTGAAGACATGGAACTTAATTAAAAGATGTAGCATTTGTGAAATTAAAGTCATAAAAGGAGAAGTACAGAGAACAAGAGAGAAGCAATGTTTGAAGAAATAATAGCCAGGAAGTTCCTAATACTGTTTACGACAATCAACCTACAGATTCAAGAAGCTCTGAGACCCAAGCAGAAAACTATATCAACATACTTTACAGTAAAATCAATGAAACCAAAGATTAATAGAAATCTTAAAACCTGATGGGGAAAAAAGACAATCATTTAAAGGAACGACAAAAAAGATACACAGCCAACTTTCCTGTAGAACTGATGGAAGTCAGACGACAATGGAGTGACATCTTTGAGGTAGCAAAAGAAAATAACTGTCAATTTATAGCGAGACCAGCAAAACGAAAGAAAAATAAAGATGTTTTTAAGATACACAAAAGAGAGAATTTACCACTAGCAAGCCCGATCTAAAAGAATACTAAAGAGAGTTTTTCAGACACAAGGAAAATGATCCCAGAGGGAAACATAAAATTGTAGAAAGTAATGAAAAGCAACAGGAAAGGTAACTATGTGAATAAATATAAATGAACGCAGATTCTGTAAAATAATGGAATGTCTTATAAAGTTTAAAATGTATACAGAATTTAAAAACGTGACAAAAATGCAAAGGTGAGGAACAACGAAGGTAGTGAAAGTGCGCTAGGACTCTGGTGTTACTGGAGCATGATCGTCTGCGTGACTCGGTGCTAAGTCAAGGTGCACGCTGTCATCTCTGGGATCACCAATAATAGAATCATAAGAAAAGACTTTGTTAATTGAAAAGAAGACACTAAAATCAAGTCCACAGAGCCCTGGCTGTCCCTCCTGCTATGAAGCTCTACAGGGAGAGGGACTTTTCCCCTAAGGGCAGGGGTAATGCCTTGGCAGAGAAAAGAGTTTGTATATAAAATCCTGAAGACGCTTCCTGAGTTAACCCCTCAGCTACCTCTCCCCGGGGCACCTCCATTCCATTCATGTATTCATTCATTCCTCAGATAAATCATCAGTACAGGGTGGCCGACACTGCCAGGGGGCCATTCTTACAGAAATGAGCCAGGCTCACCAAACTCCCACCAAGACGAACAAATCAGACCTTTCTCAAACTTTTAATGCACAAATAACAGAAATGATGCAAGTCTGGGGAAGGGCTTGTGATTTCATATTTCTGACAATCCCACAGGTGATGTTAATGTTGCCAACTCAAGGACTGCACTTTGGGTTACAACCAAAACAGAGTGACAAATGCTATAATGAAATTGTAGCTCAGAAAGGTGAACTTGCTCACCCAAACTCACAATTAAGTGGAGTAACTGGGATCTGACCGTAAGTGATAACCCATTAGAGATACCTGTGGAAACAGGTAGAGAGGGCATTTAATCCAGCCTCAGGGAAATGCTACCCAAGTTGGATCTTAATAGAGGAACAGGAGTTTGCCTGGCAAAGAAGAAGGGGGACAGAAAGCTTGTAGTGCAGAAACTGTCATTAAAAACTCAAGGGAGAGGGCTGGAATTAGAAACCAGTATGTGAATCTTACTCCACCACTGATGAACTTTAAATTTTTGGACAACTTACTTGTGCTGTGCCTCAGGTTCCACAACTGTAACATGGAGGTAATCATAAGAGCACTCACCTCATTGGATTGATGTGAGAATTAAATGAGATGGTGCCTATAAAGGGCTTAGCACAGAGTAAATCCTCAGTGAACATTAGCTCTGATTATTGCAGTAGCTGCTCAATATAATAGATGAGCAACGGAAGGAACAGGATATTTCAGCAGACTGACTCCTCCTGTGCCTGTCCTGTCAGAGTAGGGACTTGGAAGACAGTGGCGTTATTACCCAGTAGGATGTTTCCTGTCTTGGAGGAGAGGGACTTGGCTATATTCCTGGACACATCATCCCAAAGCAAGCACCTTCACGCTTGTTAGCGGATCTTTTCCTAATGACCAGGGTAACAGAAATCATAGTCCCCATTTTTATAAGCAGGGACACTGATGCCAAGAGAAATGAAGTTACTTGCTCATTATTTCCCTGGGTATTAAAGGCAGAGAGAAATTCCTCATTTGTTAGCCAAGATCTTTCCAGAAAGATCTGTAACACCATCTCAGGAGAAAAGCAAAATCCGAGCCCTTCAGGGCCAGGGACCTAGGACTTCCTACTTCTCTCAAAGCTGACCTTTTCACTACCCATCAGCACTAAGTAAGTAAAAGGATCTTTCACTTGTCAAGAGTGACAGCAAGGATATACCTGGCTCTACCCCTGATTTGGGAAGAAAGATCTCCTGGGAAAAGGTCGTGGAAAGAGATCTTGGGGTATCAGTAAGAGGCATATGGAAACCAACTCCCTATCCTCCTTTGGCTCTTCCCTGGTACACACAAGGGCAGGCACACCGGGGTGTGGCTGGACTTCCTACCTAGTAGACTGCTTGGCTAGCATGGCCACATAGGTGACGACGAAGCTCTGAAACTTGGCCCGTTGCTCCTCCCAGCGGTCATCCACCGAGTAGTAGTTGGGCAGGGGTGCTCCAAACAGGATCTCACTGCGCAGGAGGGAGCTCTTCAGGTTGTCTGCAGAGAGGCCCTCATCCACGTACCAGTAGAACTCAGGGTGAGTCATGGCCAGCTCTAGAGAGCCTGCAGGGGCACGATGGGGTGGGGAAGTTCCGCAAGTAGCTCCCGCCACTCCCACCAGCCCTCCTCACCATCTCACCCCTTTCTTGTTTTATATGTATTTATTTTTTAGCTTTAAGTGGACACAGTATCTTTATTTTACATTTATGTGGTACTGAGGATCGAACTCAGTGCCTCAAGTATGCTAGGTGAGTGCTCTGCCACTGAGCCACCAACCCCAGCCCCAATCTCACCCCTTTCTAAAGCGCTGGGAGATCCCACTCAGGCTGCTCAAAGGTCACTAATGGGACAGGGGTATGGTCTAAAGACCTCACAGCGTCCCAAGGAGCGCAGCCCCCCAGGCCTGCTCACACACCTCCCACGAAGCTTACCTCTCCATTGCAGTCTGAACCCCACCTAATTCCCAGGCCCAGTCTCTGTGGTCCTCTAATTCCACCATCTAGGTCCTATTCCAAGGTCCCCTCCTAGGGTTCTTCCCCGCCCACACCCTCCTTTAAAAGGTACACCCACAACCCTTGTGTGACCCTGCCCCACTATTCCTCAAGACCCATCCTTAACTTACCTAAAACTAACCCTACCGCAGTCTTCCTCCAACCCCAGCCTGTGCCCTATCTTCCTCTAACCAGATGCCTGGTCCTCCTGCTCCCCAGCAGGTATCCACCTCCCGCACCCCTGCCAGGCTTTCACCCTCTGTGGCCAAACATAACTCTCAACATCGTGCAGTCCAAGCGGGCACCCCAACCTCCCTCTTTGCCTCCTTCTCGCACTCCCCTTACCTCCCCTCCCCACGTCCCTCCCGGCCATGCTCCCCTGGCCATGCCCAGCTCTCCTCCTGCAGTGCTCACCACCCAGCCTCCCACAAGCCTCAGAAGTAGTAAACCAGGACCAGGCCCAGGGCCAGGGCCCGGCGCAGCTCGGCCGGAGGGCTCACCCCGGATGTCGGCTAGGTCCTGGCCCATGCCGTCGTAGTAGATCTTGCCGCCCCTCTCGGTGGGGAAGAAGTAGGTCATCAGCGAGCTGGGCGGGGAGCAGTAGGAGTAGGAGCCCAGCGGCAGGTCCTTGAGCACCTCGTGGGGCTTCCAGCAGAACTCCCGGAAGCCCGGGTGGTCCATGATCTTGCGCTCGATCTCATGGATGGTGACCAGCCTCTCGCTGGTGAAGATGTTGCGCTCCGCGTCGCCGCGAGCCAGGAAGATGAGCTCGATGCGCCAGTGCGCGTGCGTCTGGGTGTTGGCGCTCACGTACGTGCGTGAGTAGTCCCAGCGCGAGGCGCCCCGGCGGGAGCGGCTCTGATTGGCCGCGACGGCCGCGGGGGGCGTGGTGCTGGGCTGGCGTTGTCCATTCGGATCTGGCCGAGGGTCCTTCGGGGCTTCACTCTGGTTGGCTGCCAGATCCGCCAGGGGCGGGGCGTCACGCGGAAGACGCCTGCTCCGATTGGCTGCTGGCTTTTGGGCCGCGGAGGTGTCCCGGGCGGCCGCGGGAACCGAGCGCGGGGCTCTGGCGGCCTGCCGGGAGCGATTGCCGAGATGCAGCTGCTGCAACTGCTCCGAGATGAGGCGTTGAAGCGTCTCAGAGGTGAAGTCAGCCAAGTCGCGCCGGTTGCGTCCCCAGGATCCAAACTGGGACTTGAGTGCCAGAGCGAGGGCGTCAAAACGCTGCGAGGCCTCGTGGTTGCGGATCTCAAAGGCGTTGTAGGAGATGTCGATGTCCAGGGGCGGGTAGTAGAGGAACATGAAGGCCGACAGGGCCATGGGGATGCTGCAGCCCAGGAAGAGCACCAGCCCCGCACAGCACGGGTTGGTGAAGGCCCAGCCCAGGGTACTCCAGAAGCCCGTGGCTGGGGGCCCCGAAGGCAGAGTCCAGCGCCGCCAGCAACACTGCCCCCCTGCCCCAGGACGGGGCCTCGAATTCTGGGCCCTGCTAAGGGCCTCGCCTGCTGCTTCTTCCTCCTCCTGCTCCTCCTCTAGCCACACGTCCTGCAGCAGGGGGTCATCCTCAGAGTCCATAGCCTACAGGAGAGGGAGAGCGTCAGCAGCCTTGGGAGAGGGAGGGGATAGTGCCCTGTGGCGGGATTTGTCCTACCTGGGGTACCAAACCTGCACACTCCTAACCCAATAGTAATACCATAATGGAACTGCGGCAACCAGGCATTTAATACTACTGGATTCATCCACACGTGCATCAAACAGAAAAATCCTGGTCCTTCCCCATCACCTCTGCCAACTAGATCTTGGCTTTCAAGGCCACAGGAAGAGGTGAATTACAGCCCAATTGCAAACAGAAAAGATGTTTCTCCCTGGGTAAGGAATGTGCAAGAATGTTGACTACTCATGATTTTCCAATTTTTGGTTACATTCTGTCTTTAGAACTTGAGGCTGAGGTACACTGTGACTTCTCAGCAACGACTTTTATTTACTGAAGAACTACAAGTACCTTCAGGGTAGAAGGGAAAGAACATGACCTTTAGAATCAGACTCTGGTTGGAGTCCTGGCAGAGTGAATATTGGCAAGGCAGTGAGCCTCTCGGAACTTCAGAGTTGTCCTCTACAAAATGGAGGTGTCCAGTCATTCCTGCCTCACACAACTGTGGGACCAAAAGTATCTTTGTAGTACATTAGGAATTGTCTGCCTCAGATAGATAGATAGACAGATAGATAGATAGAAGGAAGATAGGTATACATATATAATTTTTCTCCCCTCCAGGGTTTGTAACCTGCACAGCTATTGCCCAGGGATCCGTGCTAGTGTTTGGTGCCTGTCATAGCTCTTCTGGAGAGCCCTCAGTAGCTCCCCACCCCCTCTCTGGGATGCTCAGCTGCAGCCACTGTTTATGAAGCCCAGACCACTTAATATGCAACTCCAGCAATGTCAAACCTTTGGGCACTGGCAGGGACCAGGCATCTGCATCCTGAGATTTGAGCACCAGCAGCAGGAGGGCCTGGCAGGAGAGGGCAAGGCTGGCCAGGCTGTGGGCTCCAGTGGGGTTAGGGACAAAGGCAGGACACCTTCTAGCATCCGTGGGCATGGCCTGTCCCCTTGTCCTACCTGCCTTCTGTTTAGACGCAGAGACTCATTATCCAGTTAGACGCCAGGCAGTGAGACGAGGAAGCTAATTATGCCAGAGCTGGCTAATTAATGCTCTTTCCTATTAACATTCTCTGGAGTGTTCCATTTCAATTAGACGGTCTGTCCAAGGGGGGAAGGAGGGCTGCTGTCAGTCCAGAGGAAGAGAGGGCGAGGGGAAGCAGGGCAATAGAGACGGACATTGGAGAGATTCCAGATGGAGAAAGGAGAATGGGTGGTGGGGAGACGGGAGGAAATAGAGAAACAGAGAAGGGAGCAACTGACTAGGGTGGGGCCCTGGGGTGGATGGAGAAGAGGGGCATCCAGCACAGGGGTGGATACTGCTTCTGTGACCCGCAAGATTCCTATCAGTATCTTCGCCAGGTGTCCCAAAGCAGGCCTTCAGGGTGCCTGGGGTGCAGATGTCCTAAGGCCCAGTTTGCATCTCACAGGTGGCGGCTCAGAAGCTGAGGGGTGGTGTGTAGGCAGTGGAGGGTGGAGGGTGGAGTTGGAGCTGCCTCCTCAGTCCTCCCCTCAGGTAAAGGAGCAGACGTGGGCCACATTCGTACCTCTCCTCGGGGCTAAGTCTACCCATCCGACCTCCACTTCAGCCCGCCTTGTGGGGAGTACAGCTTGATGTGTTGGTGTGTGAGGATGTCAAAGGTCAAGGTTGAGTCCGCCCAACCCTCCTTGGGTGATCTGGAGGCCCCTCTCTCCCACTGTGACCCCACCAGGGCTGTGGTCCCTGCCAGAGTCATCCACATCTACCTCAGCTGTCCAAGCCTGGTTCAGTATCATCTCTTGTAAGAAGACTTACCACCAGATCTGAAGCCCCAGTATCCCCTCTTGTCCTCTCTTGGTGTCCCCACCACCCTTGTCATAATTTGCCTGGGGTAAAAATTACTTAAGGACAGAGATCAAGAGGAGTATGGCAGTGGCAGGATCTGTGGCTTTGGAGGCAGAGAGACTTCAGTACAGATCCTGTGTGACTTAGAGCGGGCAGCGTAACCTTTCTGAGCCTCAGTCTTCCCTCTTGCAGAGCGGGGACAACGGTACTCACTACAGAGGTGGCGGGAGGGTGATGTCGACTGCAGGCTGGTCACAGTGTGGGTGAGGCAGGGAAACGAGGGCTCTACTTTCCTCTTCTGACCCCACGGAGGCTGCGAACTCCCCGAGACCCACTCAGCAGGGTGTATTTCCCAGAGGTGGCCACGGCAGTGTCTTCTGTCCCACCAGCTCATCTCAGGAGGTGACTCTGGTATTCTTCCCTCCAGAGGCAATGTGTGCATTCTTCCCCTGGAATCTGGGTGGGCCTGAGGGAACCTGTATCGCAGCGGTGCCGCTTTGTGACTCCCGAGGCTGAGTGATACCAGGTGCAGCTTCCGCTGCCAGGAGCTCCTGCTTGGAGCTGGCTGCCATGGGGGCGGGGGGCCAGAGCAGCCCGTGCACCAGCCCAGACAGAGACCACGGGAGGAGCTCCCTCTGACAAGCCAGCTGACAGCAGCGTCACCCAGCGTGTGATGGAAAGGCGTGAGCAGGACTGCCTGTGGGGAGTCCCCACTCCCACGTGCAGGAACCCTGGCTGTCACGTCTTCTGGGAGTAGGAGAGCCAGCGGCCTGGCCCTGTCTAGAGGGACACTACAGCAGCACCCAGCAGTAGTACCCAGAACATCCCATATGTGACTCCGGGACCTGCAGACAGCATTTGCGGGATTGAAACCCCCTCAGAAAGTTGGGCAGAGCCCTGTCCCCCAGCCAGAGCCCCACAGTTTTGGAGCCAATGGGTCTGGGCCACCGTGGTCCCTGTGGGGCGAGGAGGTCAGATGTGCTGAGTGAAGGAATCAGAGGCTCTGACCATCTTGGGGTCAGTGTTCCTAGACCCTTCCTCTGGACAGAAGGACAAGGGAGGTGTCAGGCGACGTCAGCACCTGGCAGTGCGGCCCCCTCTGGGTTGGGGAAGATCCGAAGCATGAGCAGAGGACTCAGTGAGTCCCTGGTGTGTCACACCCTCTGCCCCGACACCTGCCTTCTCGGTCCACCCCGTGTCTCTGGGCCAGCCTCAGCCACCAACTTTCTGTGTAGCCCCAGGTAATGTCCCATCCCTTCTTGGGGCCCGTGTACCCACGTTGAAGAGAGATGGTGAAGGCCCAGGTCTCTCCGGCTGGGACACCCCCAGGAGGGCAGGCCCGGCCCAAGGGTCCCTCCACCCCCAGCCCCCACCCAAGCTGAGCCCCCCCACCTCAGCCAGTAGCCGCCTCCTCGACCCCTGACCCCTGGGTGCAGGCCTTGCAGGCCGGAGGACAGAAGATCACGACTTGTTTTCCTTTCTCAGGTGACGGAATGCATCAGCTCGACACGGAGCTCCGGCTGCTCTGTGCAGAGGTACACAGGGTGGCTCCCAGGCACCCTGGATGCTGGCACAGCCCAGAGCAGGATGGGCTGCGGGGGCCCTGTGATCTCCACTGTGGGGGCTTGGGGTGTTCTCAGGGACAACACCCTCCGACTCTGTCCGCTGTCCCTCTGACACACACAGAGGGAGTCGGAATTTGACTGTGTCTTTCAAGGCCCTGAACCAGGTGGACACACATCCAGGGATCCAGTCTCCCTCTCTGGGAAAGGCAGTGGGTGGTCACCAGGGAAGGAAGACCCCACCCCGTTTCAAGGTGAAGGGTTGGAGGGGCCCAAAGCCACATCTGCAGCAAAATCCAAATTTTATAACAGGAAAAAACCAACCGAGAGGTGTATATGTAAATAAAACCCATTCGCCGTGGCTGTGCGTTTGGGAGGACCGTGGTGATTTTTATACTCCCCTTTATACTTGCCTGTCCCCCATTTTTCTGCAATGATCAAGTGCAGCCTTACTTTTAGATTCAGAAGTAAATGTTATTTAAAAATAGAACGTGTGTGTGTGTGCGTGCGTGGAAGGGATTCGCAACAGCCTTCAACTCTTTGCAGAGTTACTATAATGGGCGTGGGAGGGGGCTTTGTCCTCCAAGGAAAAACCAAGCAGAGTTGGCTTCAGTAGTAGCAGCAAGAAAGCGGCGGGAGCTGGGATACAGGACTTGGCAGATGCTCAGTGGTGGGTGCCTGTGCCAGCTCCAGGCCCCTCAGATGCACAGAGAGGGCTTGAAGTGAACAGGAAGTAGGCATGGTTCATCAGAGCCAAAGGGACCCTCGGGGGTCCTGGTCCAGCTCCGTGGACTCGCACATGGGAAAACAGACTCAGGGGTCGGGAGGTAATTCCCAAGGTCGAGGGGCCACGGCTGTTGGCTGGTGGTTCTCATCCTGCTCCACCGCTGGATCTTGGGGTAGTTGTTTTTTAAAAGTAACTTCATATATATGACTACATACTGTATATGAATGTTTGGTATATATATACATATACGTTTATTTTATAGTTGTAGATGGCAGAATGCCTTTATTTTATTTATTAATTTTTATGTGGTGCTGAGGGTCGGACCCAGTGCCTCACGCATGCCAGGTAAGCGCTCTGCCACTGAGCCCCAGCCCCCGCCCAGTTGGGGTGGCTTTTGGCAGCCCCAGGGCACAGCCAGGCCTGGAGAAGCTGGCATATGGATTCAATGAGCCAAACCGGGAGCTGTGTCTAAAGTGTAGGGGGAAAGGCATCTGTAACTAGCGGGCCAGAGGGACCGGCCATCTGGGCAGAGGGGCTCTGGTGGGAGGCAGTGGGGACATCCGTAGCCCACTCTTCTCCCCAGCGCTCCAGGGGTGGGGCCCCAGGTCAGTGTGTGTCTGGGGCCGTTTTTGTGTCTCCTCTCGAGGCATCAGATGACAGACCCTTCCTTCTCCATTCCCCCATCCCAGCCAGGCTATTAAAATGCAATCAAAAAAACCACATTAGACATGCAGATTTGACTTAAAATACGTGTATGTATATATAATTTAATGGCAATTAGGAGCTCACCAGCCTTTTCCTCCTGACTCG